GAATTCACGTATAGAACCTTTTGTTCTTTAATCTACGAGTTTCAAAGAAATTTTTAAACTAATTTGAAAAAAAAAAATTGATTTTTTTTTTTAAATATTTACATTAATATTTTAAGACGGAATGTATGTACGTACACAAATAAGTTTTTGATTGAAAATATGTATCTTTATATTATTTTGCCGCAAAAGAGCCTAATTTTGCCCACGAAGCGAGCTCAGCGAGATACGAGTTAAATAAAAAATTAATTTATAAATTTCTAACACCTTCAGATGCGTATGCAAATACTTAGGTGTGTATGTATGTACATAAATTTTAGTTTAAGCATTTTCAAAATTAAATAATTTCTCTCTCAAGCAAAGGCCAATTGTTTATATTCCTGTCTGTGCATATTGATAAATTTTAGAGATATATGTATGTATTTTTATTATGTATTTATAGACATACGTATGTAATTGTGTACAAAACATATGCTTGAACACACAAGAATATGGATGTATGTATTTAATATTATAACGCTTTTAGTTGTATACACATTGGTAGCCTAGTCTGTGCATTTGTTAGTAGGAATTTTTATAATTTTTAATAATTTCTGTTAATTGCTTTTGTATTGTTTAATTATTATCAGTTTTTTTTCTATAATTTGTTTTTGTGTTTGGTATTTATTACTATTTTAACTATTTTTTTAATTTGTTCAGTTATTTTTTATTTAATTTTTTTTTGTTTTTTTTTTTCTTTCATATACATATTTTATATTTGTATACTTAATTGGCGGCGGCGGTAGCCGGTGTCACCAACATATCAAAGCTATGGAAAATTGATTTAAATAAAAAATTTAATTTAATTTTCTAATTGCGGTCGCCCCTCGGCAGGGAATGTCAACCCCTCCGAGTGTATTTCGGACTGACATTAAAAAAACCATCAGCCATCAGGCGGCTTAGTATAAATAGTAGGTCCCTCCATTTGTTGGAAGAAACATCAAGACGCAAAACCACAAATTGGAGGAGGAGCTCGGCCGAAAAATCGCTTCAGCGGTTACAAAGCGCTTTATATGTATATATACCAATTATATTGTAATGGAATACCAATTATATTGTAATGGAATACCAATATGAATTATCTTTGGAGCACGCATTAAATTTGTGGGTATATAACATTGTCTGCATATACATATGTATGTATGCATATATGTACATAGCTGCTGTTAATTACATATTCTACTTTATTACTTTTCAAGTTATTTACTTTATTGCTACTGTTGACTTTTCATTCGCTTTTATTAATTTCTTAACAACTTTGTTTATACATATTTGTGTACATCAGAGTACCAAGTACAAATTTATATATATATATATATATATATATATATATGTGTGTAGGTTTAAATGCTTGCAGCTGACATTTTCGTTAAATTTTTTTTTATCAATTTTATTAAAATAATTTTTTATCTGCTCAGCTTGTTAAATTCGTAGGTATTTAGTATGTTAGATCGAGCGATAAAAGGCTGTGCTGCTTAAGATTCATTAGAAACGCTAAACTAAGATGGGCGCCTGAAATTATGCAGCAGCTTCTATGAAATACTAAAATGAATACCATAAAACATTTTAATTTGTATATAAAAAAAAAAAAAAATTATTTTATTTAAGAAATATTTTTTAAAGAAATTTATATGAAAAAAAAAAATAATTCGTTAAGTTCCGAAACGAGTGTCTTCTGTTTAAACACTTTTGCATTCGAATTGAGACAACTAACCAATGAATATTCTTTTCTTTTTTTTTTTTGCATTTTGATATACAAATGAACATATGTTTGTATTATTAAAACACCGTTAGCATACGGACACACATAAAATTAATGACATTTCTTTACAAATAGCTGATTGAATTTTTCCTGCACAATATATGTATGTATATATGTATGCATCATCATTAAGAAAAAGAGGAGTAACATAATATCATTTAAAATTTTAGTACAGTTTTTTTATGTTGAAATATCAAAAGCAAAATACACACAAATATAGTTATACGCATTTTAGTTACCAATCAGGTGCACAAAGCACTTAATATGATTTTTAATTCTTTTTTTCTTTTAAACCAGTTTTTCATGATTTCTACAACTCCGCATGAAAACTTGTAGATGCGAAATGTACACAAAAAGGATACAAGTTTTTTTTTATGAAAATCACGAAATTTTATAATATTATTATATTTTCACCGCTACTAAAACATTCAAATGCTCAAACTTACATACATAGAGATTTTCAACAGCTGCTCATTTTAAATAAACAAAAAAATTTCGAAAATTGTAATGTTTAAGAAAATGGAAATGTGCATTAAAAACAATTTGTGCCAAAGTATAGTTTAAAATTGCGCTACAACTAGAAGCTGATAGTTAAAAAAAAAACTTTAAAGCCAATTAATATACGCTACTTTCCAGTTTCGAAACGGCCAATACTGATTTTATTGCTATTTGTTACACTTAGTAAGCTAGTCAAGTGAAAATTTTGTCAAGCCCTCAAGCCCACAGTACAAAAGTGTTTTCATAATCTTACTGTGAATTTTAGCTATTTTTTAATTCAATTTAAGATATTAAAAAAAGAAAATATTATTATTTAAATGCTGCTACATTAATGTGGTGATTAACGTTAATTTTTTTTTAATTTTTACTAGTAAAATTATTCAATAAATTTATATTGCGTGCTATGTACGTATTGTTTTGTTTTGTTTCAAGCCTGTGAGCCAATAATTTTTACATTAGTAGCAAAAAAAAAAACCAAAATTAAATTAAAATTAATTATTCACTTATATCATATGGATTCGCGACTAAAAACAATTTATTGTGACAGCACAGTTAGCATTTAAGTTATATTTATTTGAAGTCAAAAATATACATAACGATGTGTAGGTATACGTGTATGTAATGTAAGAATGCGAAAATGTGCTTTTCTATTATTTTTATTGTTTATGAGTAAATAATTTCAACTGTTTTTTATTTTTATTGTTCTTCTTTTTTTGTTTTTGTTTTTTTGTTTCCATTGCTATTCTATTTTCTTCTGATCTTTGTTTAACAATATACCTTTATAAACGTTATTTAAACTTTTCATTAGTCAAATGATAATTTAGGTTTTCTATACTTGTAATTTAGCTTAGCTTATTTAACATTTTATTTATTAATATATGTTTGTATGTATGTATGTATGTATGTATGTATGTATATAATTAATTTGCCTCTTAACAATTTTTTGACATAACTTATCATATAGTCGTAGAATATGCACAAACATATGGCTGTTTAAGTAGAATTTTGTTGCTGTTTTTTTTTTTTAAATCACTTTTATACTACATTTTTTCAATGCATGCCAATTATGGTGCTTTATCATTTTTTTTTTCTTGCATTTATGTTTTCAATCAGAATATATATCTATAAATGGGAGGATTCAGTCGTTAAATATTTATGTATGTATGTATAATTTATAACAATATACTGTTTGAATTTTAGCACAGATATCTCCTTCGAAAAGCAAACCAATTCGGCAAGTAGATTTTAATCACTTTAACAACAAATACGGCAAAAAGCATTGAATATTCAAAAGATTTTAAAAGATTTAAAAGTAAAAACTGTTAGTTTCTATAGTAATGGCGATAAAAACTTTGTGTGTGGGTAGTGTAGAACTACAAATTAACTAAAATGGCTGTAAAAACAATCAGAATTTTATAAAATATTTGAGAATTTATTTAAAAAAATAATTCACTTGTGTTGTACGCATTTAATAATTGCAATCTACACTAAATACAATCAGACAATTAAGTCTTAATAGCTGGAAAACTATAAGTGGAAAATTTATTTAGCAAAAATTTTATTGAAATTGAAAAAGTATATGTTAAGCCCGAGGACATGTTACATGGAAAATAATATAAATAAGCCAAGCGCAGCTTTAAATAAGTTGTCAGACTTTTGTAACAAATCAAGAGTGCCTAACTGATTTCCAAAACCAAGCAAACATACATACGTGTATTAATAAGCTAAATTTACAATACAGCGGCAGAGTAAATAGAAAAACTTTACAATATTTTACTCATCTTACTTGTTGATAAGTAAACTAATTTGCTACTAACTAACATTGATAAGCAAAAGTTTTAAATAAAATTGAATACAATAATACAATGCTGCCTTAAATTATTATTATTGTTGTCGCAGCAGCAAGTTCCGTGGGGAAAAAAAAAGAAATCCAAAAATAGCTAAAAACCAAAAACTTCAAACACTTAGCTTTGCTTTATATGTGTCTAAGATGATGTGTGTTCTTAAATAATACAACTAATATATGCATATATCACTAATCATTAGTCCATAACGTACAATTGTAAGAATAAAAATATAGTAATAATATTTAATTGGTAAATGAAATGCGCAAATTTCTAAATATTTACCATCTCAGTGTTAGTATATATATATATATGTATATTATTACATGCATGTTTGTATGTATAACAAACCGATTGCTTCTTCAATGTTTCAATGTACGTATGTGTTTGCTTGTGTTTTACTAAAAATAACGTTGATAATAATGCGGTATACAAATAAGCATAAGAACAGTTGTACTAATTATAATTATAAGAGTTAGCACAATCACAATTGGAAAAGAATTGGACGCATAACACACTATGCGCTTTTCTCTACTAGCCAAAGATGACGCACAGCAAGCAACGCTCGTATCAAGGCTGCCCGTTAGCGCACGACGTCGTCTGCGCTTTATTTCATAACGTTTTGCCGCCGTCACTGTTGTCGACGACGACAACGGCACCGCCGCCGTCGCCGTCGCAACGCGTTTACTCTTTTGCCGCGCCATCGCATCCGTCAATTAAATTACTTGCTCACAGTTACAACGCCGACGTGAACAACTATGTTGTCTGGATTTACGTGCCTGCGCCACACTTGTCACCGCATCCATTAGCTGGTCCAGCTGCTGCAAGTGCATTTGCTGTTGTTGTGCCGCCGCCGCTGCCGCCAACACTGACTCGCTCAGCGTTACTCACATTTTATGTAAAGCCGCTGCTGTGGCGCCCGGTTGCGGTGCCAAATTCTCATTGGACCAGAGTGATGACTGTGCCGTCGATGTTGTTGATGTCGACTTGGCGCTTGGCGGTGTCGACGTTTGCAAATCGAAGCGCGCATAAAAGAGCAGGTACGGCGTAACGGTGATTTTGCGTGCAGGTGATAACAATTCTTCGAATTCACGTTGTGTCATTGCTTTGATTTTATCATCATCGCACATATACCAAATGGGTTCGCCGTGATTGCTGCCGCCCGCTGCCGCCGCCGCTGAAAGACTGCCACAACTAGATGCATAGCCACCACCACCACCATTGCCGCTGAAGGTGCTGCCGGCCTTGGTGCCACCGCGACCAGTACTACCATAGCCAGCCGGGTAGCTATTGTAGCCACTGGTGGTACTACTGCCACCACTAATTGTACCGCTACCGCCAGCGACACCAGCACCAACTCCGCCGGTATTGCTACTACTACCGCTGATGCTCATCGAGGAAGAGGCAAGATTTGTGCCATTCTGCAGCGTCTCTTCGCTCAATTCATTGGTACTGCCGCTCAATTGTTGTTGCTGCTGTTGTAATTGCTGTTGCTGGTGTACGCTACAAATACGCGTCGCACAACATGTCAAACTATGACAAGTTGTATTCATGCTTAGCTTGCCAATGCCATTTGTAATGGCTTTACTTGTGATCCCATTCAAATTTTTCATATTCTTACTCATATCACCACTACTCGATGCCTTGCTCCGTCCAAATTTCATTTTCTTCATCAGACTAGAACCCGACGAGGCGAGCACTGATGCAGCCGCACTGGCGGCCGAAGCTGCCTGTGCGCCGGGGCTGCTACGTTCGTTCGGTGTTGAGCCGCCACCTGAAGCTGCTGAACCGCCACCCAACGGGTATAGACTATTATTGGACAAGCCGTTCGTTTGTTGTAAGCTATTGTTGGAATTATTGCGCCGATCCTTCGGACAGTTAATATACTCATTAGCCCAATCTAACGAACAGGTATAGGCAATGTAGTGGCCCACGGACATCGTGGCACCCACATGTGTTATTACGCTGTAGAGTTTGTAGATATGCAGTTTGTTGGCATCGCTGAGCTCACAGCACTTAGCGCAGAAGCACTGCAACGTGAACGATGTGGGAATGTAACTGTTTATCTTTTCCATGCCACCCGAGAAGCGACTCAATTGGATGACTAATAGACGCGGCAACACTTCATACGAAATGGATCGTATGGCTTCGGTGTAACCGGTACACTGTTCGCAGCGGTACTTATTCTCGCCGCGGAAAAATTCTCGAGTGACACATGAATTCTATTTAATATAATTTCAAAATAGTTATTAACCAATGCATAGACAGTTGTAAAAAATGAAGAAAATAACTATTTGATCACTCACCTGTATAAACGAGCTTGGCTTGTCCGTGTAGTCCGAATTATCATATCCGGAAATTGGCACCGGCACTGCAATATCAATCATGCTCTCCTTCTGTTCCGTTACCGTCTCACAACTCAGACACTTTGTACTTGACACCGTTACCCCTTCAAAGTCCTCGCTAAAAAAGTCCAGACCCAATTCACGTATCTTTTCAGCCAATCGCTCCTTATCCTTCAGCATACTAACAGGTGACGAGAGTTCACTGCTCGATTCATTGCCTGACAGCCCTTTTATTACAGCATTAGGACTGCTAGCAGCTGCGTTGCTGGTAGCTGTTGCGTTCGAAGGCGGCGCGCTGCTGAGATCGACCGAGTTCAAGTAAAATAGACTATTGGCAGTTGCCTGCAAGCCATTACCACTCTGGCCATCCTTGAGCGGTGATTGGATTCGTGTGTTTTTCGAGTTTTTCGAATCATCTTTTCGCTTGGATTTGCGTGAGAAGAATGATGATTTCGGTATGCTGCTTGTGCTTAGACTAGAGGATGTTGCAACAGTAGTAGTAGCGGAATTTCCACTACCAACTGCATTATTATTACTTGTAGTGCCACTTAGAGTGTCGCGGTCGAGTGTGTAGGCGTCCAGTTCATCCGGATTGCGTATGTAGCTAGTAAAGAGAGTATTTCATTTATTTCAAACTTGCGTTTATATTTACCTCAATCTAATATAGCTCACCCATTAATAATTAGATCTGGATACTCGCTAATAGCCTTAATCAGTAGCTGACAAGTCTCGCGTATACTGTTTAATAAACACATGAGAAATTCATGCGCATCCTGTTGCTGATTACCTTCGAAAATTGCATTTACATCCTGAACTGCATGCAACAATGTATCGGCATGGAAGGGTTCTGTCGATTCGGCTACCTCATTGCGGTGCAAACACTGATAGAGCTCGTGCAGTCGTTCGGTCAACATTTGATGGCTACTCTTCTGACCAATGCCACCGCCACCTGTACTCATGAGTGCGTTCTGTTCGAGCGCTGCTAGATCTTTGCTACTAAAACTGCGCGCATTCTCCAGTTGTACTGCACTAATACCTCGACCCAACGATGATGATTTCGCGGCGCGTTGTCGCGCTATACACTGTTGTATGCTGGATAAATCCACAATTAGATGATGGAGATTGTGTAGAAATCGAGGCGCAAAACGCAATGTGTACACAACCGAATTTAGGTAGCAAGTGTTGCCGATGTTGCAAAGCGTCGCCATGGAGGGCGCATGGTTCAGCGTGTTGCCATTGCCCAATTGTGTGGCCGCGACTATACCGCCACTACCGCTGCTGCTGCTGACGGTGAGGCCACCGCTGGAAGCTGATGCCACTGGCATGTAGAATTGTTGTTGTGAGATATCCTGTGCATTCTCGACATCCGAATGTACGGCGCTTGATGACGCCGAGGAAGTGCGCGTCGAACTAAGGTAACCGTTTGTAACGCTACCAGAACTGGCGCGCGCCTCACCGTCCGTTGTGGTTTGATACCGACGATCGTAAAGCGACATGATGCCGCGTCCGCGTTTTTTAACGTTGCCGCTGGTGGTGGGTGTTGTACTGTTTGCAGATATAGTAGCTGTCGCAGTTGTAGTTGTTGTTACAGCCCCAACCGGAACCTCTGCAGTTATTTCCAGTGGTTTTGAGGACACCGGTGCTCTGCTGACTACTTCACTATCACCAGGTGCTATATTAATACTAGGTGTGGCAATATTTTCCGCCGCTGGTACGCCACTGCAATGAAGTGCTGCAAAATCAAAGTTGGTTGGAGGCAGTTGTGCCGCTGATGGCGGCGGCGTGTGCTTGTGTGTATTGCAGTTGCGCTTGCGTGCCGCCGCAACACTACTATCACGTTTGCGTTTTGTACCAACTTTTTTAACCTCAACTTCGAGCGTTTCGATTTTGCTTAGCAATGTCTCATCCAAATTGAACCACGCTGGAATAGAAGATGAATGTGTTTTATACAATTTCTTATACATAAAATACCTTTTCTTAATATATCAATACATTTATATACACATACTAACCTGGATGTCTTTTAACTTGCTCCCTACCGCTGCCACCTTTGCTTGCAGCTTGATTTTGCCTTTTCTTCGCCTTAAGTATCTCTTCCAATTTCTTACGATTTCGTAAGGTCGCAAGCCGCTCAACGGTTTCTTTGCTTTTAAGACCTTTCAGCGCAGTAGTCGCCGCTTCTTTAGGACCTGCTTTTCCCTTGACTTTAGCTTTATTCTTTCGTTTTGTGAAATTGGTAACACTCCGGCGTCTCCGTAAAGTTCGTCTACTACCACCGGCGCCAAATGATGCGCGTGATGTGCCAACTACGCCGCCTGCTGATGCAGTAGAATTTGAGCCAGTTGTTGCTGCTTTAGTAGATGCGTTTGCTGTTTGATTATCAACTAATTCCACACAAGTTTCAATAACTACGGGATAAAGCGTGGGATAATATGGCGGCGTATAGCGACGTTTTCTGGACGCAGGAAGTTTTGAAGGACTTTTGGATGAATTCTGGGTTGCAACTGGATTTTCTTCACTAGTTTTTCTTTCAGTATTGCCACTCTCTATAGTAGCATTCTCCTTTGTTGATTTACGTTTTTTGGATATTTGTCTATTTCGCCGTTTTCTACGCGATCGTCTGCTTTTTTTTGCTTGCTGGGTCGGCTGTTGCTGTTGTTGTAGCTCTTTTTGTTCTAGTTGTAGCTGCTGTTGTGCTTTTGGTTTTTCTTCTAAGTCGATTTGTTTACTTGGCTGTTGTTGTTGTTGTTGTTGTTGTTGTGTTATAGTTGAAATTGTTGGTGTACTATTTTGTATTAAATCGTTCTTTGAACTTATTTCAATTATTGTTTCTGCTATTACTTTAACTGTTTGTATTGGAAGACACACCTCGTCGTTACTTAATTTTTTTGCAGCATTTCTGGGCATTTTTTGAACACCTGGAAAAAAAATAAATTTATATTTTTTATTATAACTATTCGAACACATCAAAAAAGAAAATATATTTATACATATATGTACACTCATAAATATCTCCTAAACATGGGTGGTTATTTAATGGTTTTAGCCGTTTCAAATAAATTGCATATGTATAAGGATTTCTTACAAAGCTTTTAACATCTTTTTACTTAGCGTTTTCTAGATATGAATTATCACAAATTTAAGAATCAAATTATAGATCATACAAAGAAAATAGTCCAAAGATTAAGTTGACTTGATATGTTTTAACGAAAGCCCGTGCATACATATGTACATCTAAATATACACAAAACAACTGTTATGAATTAAGTTTTAATTTGATTTTATATAAAATTTTATTTGATATTACTTTATTTAACTGTGATTTAGTTCTTTTTACTTTTCACTTTATTTCTTTTTATTTTTATTCAATTTCCTTTTATTTGCATTTTTCATATTTTATTTTTTGTTTTTTGATTATTTTATTCCTAGGCTATTTATTTTTTATTATCCTAATTATTAATATTCTATTTTTTATCCAGTAAATTTTTACTTATATTATTTTTTATTATTTTATTTCTTATTATTATATTTTTTATTTTTTTTATCTAATTTTTTATTACCTTATTTTTTATTTAATATTTTATCAATCTATTATTTATTATTTTATTATTTATTCTTTTATTTCTTAAAATGTTATTTTTAATTATTTATTTTTTGTTATTTATTACTCTATTTATTTTTATTTTTATTATTTTTTTTATTATTTATTATTTTATTATTCATTATTATTTTTTTTTGCTCTGTTTTTTATTATTAATTTTTATTACTCTATTTTTTGTTATATCATGCTATTTTTTATTGTAAAATTATTTTATTTCTCGTTTTTTTATTTTATTTTTTATTCATTTTTTTATTGTTTTATATTAAATTATTTTATTTTTAATTATTCTATTTTTTATTATTTTATTTTTTACTATTTTATTTTTTACTATTTTCTTTTATTATTTTACCTTTTATTATTTTATCTTTTATTATTTTATTTTTTATTATTTTTTTTCTATTTATATTTTATTACTCAATTTTTTATTATTTTATTTTTTTATTATTTTATGTTATGTTATTTAATTTTTTATTATTTTATGTTTTGTTATTTAATTTTTAATTATTTTATGTTTTATTATTTAATTTTTTACTATTCTGTTTTATTTTTTATTATTTTATTTTTTATTATTTTATTTTTTACTATTTTATCTTTTATTATTTTATTTTTTATTATTTTATCTCTTATTATCTTATCTTTTATTATTTTATCTTTTATTTTTTATTATTTTATTTTTTATTATTTTATTTTTTTTCTATTTATATTTTATTACTCTATTTTTTATTATTTTATTTTTTTATTATTTTATGTTTTGTTATTTAATTTTTTATTATTTTATTTTTTACAATTTTATTTTTATTATTTTACTTTTTACTATTTTATCTTTCGCTATTTTATTTTTTACTATTTTATTTTTTATTATTTTATTTTTTACTATTTTATCTTTTATTATTTTATCTTTTATTATTTTATTTTTTATTATTTTATTTTTTATTATTTATTTTTAATTATTTTATTATTTTCTATTCATGTTCTATTACTCTATTTTTTGTTTTTTATTTTTATTTTTTTTTTTTTTTTTTATTATTATATATTTTATTATTTTATTTTCTATTATATTATTTTTTATTATTTAATTTGTTATTACTTTATTTTTTACAATTTTATCTTTCATTATTTTATTTTTAATTATCTTATTTTTTACTTTTATTTGTTTATTTTTTATTATTTTACTTTTAATTATTTTATTGGTTTATTGTTTTATTTTGCTTAATTTTACTTTATTATATTTCATATCGATTTGTTTTATATTTTAACACCAAGATTTTACTTTTTAATATTAATTTACGGACCTTTGAAAAATCCTTTACAAATATCCCAAAGCACAACATTTTGTCAGAAATCATTGCCAAAATCGATGTTAAATTAAAAACGGAATCTCTATCTTCTAAACAGTTGATTTTTGGTTGAAGGCCGTTGACAAGTTGGTAGCAAATAAAAATTGCAAAGAAAGTAGATATTGCTTCGATATATTTTTATGGTGTCTTGCCCTCATCTCTCCAAAAACCTAACTAATTTTATTATGAGCTACCATTTATTGTTACCTATATAGTATTTCAATGTGCGCGAGAGCATGTTAGCATACATATATACACTTCTTGTATGTATTTTAGCGGCTAGCGCACGCTTATCAGCAAACGAAATATTGCTATTCCATTTCTATTTTTTTCTTTAACAAATACATACATATATATGTATGCAAGTAAACGTTAAATAAATAAACACTTAGCACTTTTTTGTGCGTTATTCGGCTTTCAGTAATGTTTACGAAGAGTCAAGAACATATGTACATACATATATTATATATGTATGTATTATGCATGAGTGTATGATTATTAAATAATCAATGAAAAATTATTATTTAATTAAGGGGTGAGGGAATGGGTTTAACATATTTCTATACTCGTATACATATGTACATATATGTACAAATATTCATAAGTATGAGTACATAGGTTTAGATGTATACAATGAATAGCTAAATAAAGCTAAATAAAAGAGAAAATGCTTTCGCATTACCGATTTTTCTTCAAACAATTCTCTATATATGTACAATATGTATGTTGTGTGGGCCAATACATATTTTTCAGATATTTTTGAGCATTCGTTTTCCTATAAAACATTAAGTTGTAAAATAAGAAGAAATCAAATTTTATTTAACCATCTTTAAAAGGCATGCATGAACTCGTTAAGGGCTTATAATTCTCGAAGCAAAAGCTTTGCTACTTATTGGCGTCAACTTGTACCAACTATTATCGCCATGGCAAGTGCCATGGGACAAAAAATATTTATACTGCCTTATCGGTATCGCAGAATCAGTGCACATTTTTTTTTCTCCCTCATAGTATTTTCTATATTTTCTCTAATACAAGTAATTTTGTTGTTTGTTTTGTTTTTTTCTTTTCAATTTTAATCGAGCTTCTCCGTGCTTTCAATTATTAATTGCTTGGTGATTCAACCTTGTCAAATGTTACGACGGACTAAAAATAGAACTTATACTGGAGTGAGTACGAAAGAATGAGAGAGAGACATTGAGGTAGCGTAATGAATCATTAATTGACGATTACAAGCAAAAACAAAAAATTTATATAATGGTGTATTTCCAATTATCAATTTATGAATATTTTAAATAAATGATAAATGTAAATTTCAGATAGTAAACACATAACTGATAAAGTGAAAAAAAAAATTATATGTGTATGGACATACGTGTATGTGCATACGTACATAGTACATATGTATATATATTGACAATTTATTATATAATATTTATTATATTATAAAATCAGGGATGGCAAGTTACACATTTAACTTATTTACTTGTCCTACGATTTTTATAAGTTTCTTGATCCGGTCTCAACTCTCCTACCCATGATTCCCGGCTACAGTGTTTGCGGCTATCTAGAGCGGGCACATATGTATGTATGTACCTATGTATACATACATATACATTTCTTGGGACATTATCTTAATATGTACATTTTAGTAAAGCGAGCAAAGATTATCAAACTGAATAAGTGTGTTGGCAGGTAGGTATTGATGACATAACTTCATTTGTTGGTATTACCCAACAATGAGGCAGGACAGCAACGCTAGGGCATATTAATTGCGATTTGCCTTAAAAATTAATAAAATTAATTAATTAAATTAAAAAAATGGAACAATAAAGAATAATGCAATAAAATATTTAAATTGAAATAAAATAATAACTAAATAAAATGAAAATATAAAATAAAATTAAATGAAAAAAAAAAATAAAATAATAGAAACGTACATATTTACTTATACACATTTGTTTTTTGGCAAATTAAAAAAAAAAAAAAATAAAAAATAAATAATAAAATAAATAAATAAAAAATGATATAATAAAATAAAAAAATAAATAATAAAATAAATAAATAAAAAATTAGGGTAAAGTAAATAAATATAAAAGCAACGAAATAAAAACAAATTAATTGTATAATAATATGTTTTATGTAAACAAATATATGTTATAAAAATTGAACGTTTCCATGGAATATATATATATATATATATATATATATATATATATATATATAAAAATATGTGCATATATACACATATGTATGCAAGTTTTATTTACAAATTTGTCCTGCAGTAAAATGGATCAACGTTGACGTAGTCACTAACGAACCTTTAGTGACACCGTCACACTTGTTGCGTATCCTTTACGACATTTACCTGGCAATGTCGTCGAAGAAATTCTTGTAGGTTTAACTTCTATGTATGACAATGTCATGCAGACGTCATCGATGACAAAATTACCATTTTTTGGAATAGTAATCTACGATTTCCATGTAAACACTACCAAGCAAGACGCTAAATTAACTAACCCACATAATGCGCTACAGAGAAATACACTGCACAAATATATGTGTAATTAAGCAGTGTAAACGCAGTATTATTTGTGTACAAAAATGACCACCAAGCACTACTCTGATGACCGCCGGTTAAACAAGGCCACAGCCATGGTGCAATCAACCAACTACCCATCAATAGCAACATATATGTATATATAAAGGTTACCATCATCCCTGCCAACACGAAACATTATATTTTGAAACTACAACAAATCTTCTGAATATTTTAATATTGTATGCGCAGTTTTGTGATGAACCAACAAATGGGGTGAAAATAGTTCATATGAAAATACGGGGGTGGGGTGTATTTAATCAGTGCTGATAGTGTGTAGACAGCAAGTGCAGCAACAGCGCCGTCAGTAGCTTTTGAAACATCAACGTCACATACAAACAAATTTGTCTACACACACTCTAGCCGGGTATGCTAAAAACACAATAGCGGCTCATACTCGTATCGTATTCTTTAGAGACACCATAACAATTTTACTATTGATTTGTTGGTAGATCGAAGGTCACGTCATATGTCAGTATGTTTTTAAATTCAAGCTGAAAAATTATGATATAGTGTTCTTGTTCTTGAAAAAAAATATTTAAAATAAGTAAATGTGATGGGGTTAGTTATATATGGGTGTAAAAAATGGCGAAAAAGAAATATTCAAATTATTTATAAGCAAAGGGAGAGTTAGGTAACGCAGTCGCGTAATAGTAGAATGTAAAATAAGCCTCCACTAGAGCTTTTGTCTTGGTTATATGTCTATTTTCTGTTTGACTAAAATTTGTTGTTTTATTGTTACAATTTGACAAATTCCTATTTATTCTATTATACGTGCTTATTATATGTACTTAGGCAAAATGGACTATTATTTAACATGATTTCGTTCGATCACTACGCTAATACGCATCACAAATTTTATGGCAGTAATACTGTAATTCGAGTTACTCTGCTTTTTTGACTGTGTTGCGTTCAATTTTATATTTGATTACTTACATAGCCTGTTTGAAATGCATTTGCTGCTTTTACTGCAGACGTCAAATATCCAGTTACAGCTGGCGACTCTTGTCTTCGTTAATAAGTTATTGATGTCGCTAGATAACGCAGTTGTCTAAGCGTCTCTCATATGAACCGAAATCATTTTTAAATCTAATAGCTTAACTGCTGATGTTTCTGCTACTTTGTTGTTTTATGGTCTTGAAATCTTTATTCTTTGATTATTATTTGCACATTAGTACAGCGAGTGCATACGCCAAGGTGTTGTTCATTATTGTTGTATCAAATCGATTTTTTCGCAAATGCTTCGGCTTCGATTATTTGTCCACGCACACACATTTACTATTTTTGCATTTTTCACAGAGGCGTGTAAAGTGCATTATTTGATACGTTCTGTTTTAATTTTGGGCTATCTAACTACTATCATGTGATGATGTGACCAGTTACACCCGAAATTTACATACTTGTGCGTATCCGTGCGGATGATTAATAAATGAGAATTTTCAATTTCAAATTATTTTCCTTTTCCACTTGTGTTGTAGCAATTTTTTGGTAAAATTAAATAAATCTAACTGCAATTACGTTTTTCCGTTTGTCCAGTCTATAGTTTTCTTTGCTTGTAACACTATTCGCCTACTCGCTTTCTCTGCTTTTTTCTTGATTTCTCCGTATGTCGTTTTATCGAACACCTTTTCCTATTTCCTCGCGCCGCAAACCAAGTATATGCTATGAACACTACTCCAGACGTCGCGAACTATTTCTTACAGCATCGAAGTAACCAAATTTCTAGCCTGTTCCAGGTTGCACCCCGGTATTGCTTTCTTCTGTAAAAGTTTTTCTATTACTCACACAATCGTTTAACAAAAATCTACAATAAAAACATTGAGATTTTATGGCTGAAAGCTGAAAATATGTCAAAATTAGTACGACCGGCCGAAAAAATTACAAAATTTTCCGAGATTGGCATTAAGTTAGCTGCCCTGGAATGTGACAATTCAGTTGGAGTGAAAAATCTGAGCTGGAAAAGCTTTGAAAGATAGAGCGTTGCCAGATATATAATGAGTGGTAAAGTACAAGGTGATTCATATCTATTGTATTTATTTTACTTGAAAATGTTTGTTACGTATCTGCATGATTCGAATTAATTCAAATTCGCCCTTTGGAAACAACAGTTACGCAGCTATATGGAACACGATAAAATCGATCAGCCTCAGGCCTTTTGGGGATGCTACGTCATGCAGGCACTGTTATGCTTCTTCGACCACTCCGGCGTTATAATCGTCAAACACAATTTGCCCATCGTGGCGAAGGCAGTTTTCAAAGACGCTTTAGTTTCTTTTTCATTGGGATAAATTTTTCATGTGCTGATTCTCAAGCCCTATGCACAACCGTAGAGGACTATACCTCCTCACTTTAGCTCATCTTTATTGGGGGAAGAGACTTGGAATAAGAACTTCGCATGAACCATTTACACTCCCAGGTGAAGAATGACAATCAAAAACTTCCCAATTCTGATAGGATTGCAGAATATCGAATTCTATGCGAATCTTTCCGATCTGATATCCTGACAACTTTTCTGTACATGAAAACTCTGTGAATTTACCAATTAGAAAATAAGAAATAAGTGGCAGTACTTTTGTTGTGACAACTTCTTTGACAGATGTCGACTTGGCTGCTCGGTGCCGACTGCTGTCACTCTTCCTTCTCTCCGGCAAGTAGCAAACATGGCGACAGGCGTAAGTAAATTTTCACAATTTTAATTTGCGAATATCTATTACATCGTAACATTTTAATACAAAATAATTTGTTGGAAGTCTTTATATTTATGTGCACTCCCGTTGTTTAAAAAATTTTCATTCCAACCATCTGTTTTACAGACGCTTTATACCTACCCAGAAAACTTCCGTGCGTACAAGGCACTCATCGCTGCCCAGTACTCAGGTGCTCAGGTGAAAGTAGCCGAAAATTTCGTTTTTGGCGAGACCAACAAATCTGCCGAATTTTTAAAGAAATTCCCCAGCGGCAAGGTAAGTCTGAGTAAAAGAACTTGTTTAATATTGAATTGGGTGTTTGTAGACAAAGGCCCAACTAACTGTTGGTGTCGTGCATACGTCACCAATCTAAATAGAATTTTACTCTTGCTCAATTTTTATTTATGATATTCCAGGTGCCTGCTTTCGAAACTGCTGATGGCAAGTACCTTTCGGAGTCGAATGCCATAGCTTTCTACGTAGCCAATGAACAGCTGCGCGGTGGCAAATGCCCTTTGGCTCAGGCCGAAGTTTTGCAATGGTTGTCATATGCTGACAATGAAATCGTCCCAGCATCTTGTGCTTGGGTCTTCCCATTGTTGGGAATTATGCCTCAGCAAAAGAACAGTACCGCTAAACAGGATACCACCGTTATTTTGAGTCTCTTGAACAGCAAGCTGTTAAATAGTACATACTTGGTTGGCGAACGTATTACACTTGCTGACATTGTTGTCTTCAGCAGTTTGTTGCATTTGTATCAGTACGTATTGGAGCCGAGTGTACGTGCCGAGTTCGGCAATGTAAACCGTTGGTTCGTTACCATTCTTAATCAGCCACAAGTTAAGGCTGTTGTAAAGAACTACACTTTGTGTGAGACAGCGCTTGTATTCGATCCCAAGAAATATGCAGAGTTCATAGGTAAATCTGGTGGTGCTGCTGAAAAGAAACAGCAGTCAAAGCAGAAGGAAGAGAAGAAACCGAAAGAGGAGAAGAAGAAGGAAGAAAAGCCCAAGGAAGAATTAGATGCCGCTGATGAAGCACTCTTATTGGAACCCAAATCAAAGGATCCCTTCGATGCTATGCCTAAAGGAACCTTCAACTTTGATGACTTCAAACGCTCATACTCCAACGAGGATGAGTCTGTATCCATTCCGTATTTCTGGCAAAAATTCGATCCCGAAAACTATTCCATCTGGTTTGGTGAATACAAATACAACGATGAATTGACCAAGATATTCATGTCCTGCAATCTCATCACTGGTATGTTCCAACGTTTAGACAAAATGCGTAAGCAAGCTTTCGCCTCCGTGTGTCTATTCGGTGAAGACAACAACAGTACAATCTCTGGAATTTGGGTATGGCGCGGCCAAGATTTGGCTTTCACACTCTCACCTGACTGGCAAATCGATTACGATTGCTATGCATGGAAGAAACTTGATGCCAGCTCAGAGGAGACCAAGAAATTGGTGCAACAGTACTTCTCATGGACTGGTACCGATAAGGATGGTCGTAAATTCAACCAGGGCAAAATCTTCAAATAAAGGAGCACATAAGTAATTGAGATTTGATCAACAATAAGTAGTTATCTCACCAAGTGTGTCCTAATTTATAGTTAACCAGCCCTACTACCATTCTACAACAAATAAACATCTAAGCTCATGAAATCAATGCCTTTCTATAACTAAAATTTGTAGGCTTATTCACTATAAGCGCAGCAAATTAAAATCGGCCAGTTGGAAAAATATTATTTATATATAACAGAGATTGTTTTTTTTAATAAAATTGAAGAAAAAAATATATATCTGTTGGATATTGCTTAACTACGGTGTTTTCTAAGTGTAATAACGGTTTGGTAATATGAATTTTCCACATTTCTCTTTCGGTTAAATAATAAATCAACTTTTTCAAGTCGTATTTTTTTAATTAATTATGTAGCAGTTAAATTATTACAACAAAAGTTTGCTTTTCGCTTAATTTGCTTTTAAAGCAGTTTAAGAATTATTAATTTTTTAACAGGAAATTAAAAATGAGAAAATTTTTCTGCCCGAAGAAATGCGTTTATAGAGAGAGAGAGAGAGAACAAAATAATAAATCAACTGTTAATATCTAATTCCATTATATATGTATTACTCTCATTTTCCTTAAATTTTTCTATTGCTTTCATTGGCACAACAGAACCAATAATGGGATTGCAGTTATCATCGATAACAGCAAACGGAATATGATTTTACTTCTTTCTTTGTAGAACAACAGGTCCAACGTTGTCGCCAGTTTGTTTATTATGTTCACCATGGCTGCCATCACAATAGGGCCACTGCAAAATTAAGTTTAAGCGATTATTAATTAATCAATCACTACGAAACCTGAATTGATCAACTTACGTTTTTGGTTTTCCAACAGCGGCAGAAAGCAGCCTTTTCGGCAATATTTTCAATATCGATCATATCCACAACCTTAGCTTCAGATTTACGTATTGATTGATTGCAGCGACCAGTTCCACTACAGCCCTTTCGCGCTGCCGGACAAAAAGCCAAATATGTAACGTAGCCGAAACCCGCAACTACGGCAGTGGGGGGAATAAGCGCCAAATAATCCTTAACTATATAAATGAAAACGAAACCATTAAATAATACATACATATGTATATGCTGTACATATGTAAATGCCCAGTTGTAAAATGTGTTACTTGACCCTTACAAGTGCTAATTAGCATACGTATGAATAGGTAAATGTGACAAAAACAACAGCAGCGACACTTCAAAAGGCAACTGAAATTTAATTTAAAGGCAACGGTTACGCGAAATACACGGGAACATACTTTTACACATATACACACAAGTATGTATGTAAAACCATATTTAAATTTAGATAAAGATTTTTATTATATTAAAAAAAACTTTATGTGCAAACATTTATAGTCACATTCACTTATAATTGGTCTTATTATCGTTTGTTGTACTTGCAATTATTGTTGGTTTTTTATACATAAATAACTATTGCATAATCATAAGGCATTTACCTAGCGTTTAATGCATCTTCAACTGGAAAGTAAATAGAACATCGCTACATTTAAAAAGCCAGACAAAATTGTACATAAATTTATACTCGACCGAAGCCGTTAATTATAAAATTACTCTTTTCTATTCTAAAGCTGATGTATAATATCTGAACGCAATAAAATATGAGTATTTTTCATTAATTTAGGTCAAATACATATGTTTCTGGTCGCAACAGCGCCTTACTTACATGATAATTTAAACCAGCCCGTGAAACTATCTGGTATTGGCAAGTTGGACATGTAATTTGGAATTGTTGTTTTCACTAAGTCAGAAACAGCCTGCATTTTGTCAGAAATTTATGTCAGTAAAATACCACAAAACTTTTTAATTTTAAACTGGACACAAAAAAATTTTCTTCGGCTTTTGCACGATGTCAAATGCAAAATCAAATGAAAACAAACGTCATGTAAATAAGTTAACGCAACAACAATAACTGTCAATCAATCCACAGAGTGCCTCCATGATTTAGTTGTTAAAAAAAAAAAGCGATTGCCATATAATTTTTTTGCTATCGCAACTTAACGAAACGTTACGTTATTTCATACACTGCATGATATTTAACGCTTTTTTTTTATTAAAGCAGTTGAGCATAAACAACAATTTCCGGTGGAGTACGTAATATTTCACTGTTAATTGGAATTTTTTTTTTTACAAAGTGATGGATGTTTCGATGAAGCCAATGGACTTTCATCAGGAACTTCGAATTTTATAACAGAAATACATTTGTAGGGATTACAGTTCCTTGCCGAGAAGCGACCACAAAATTATTTTTTTATGATTTCGGATCTTTGATCAGAACGGTACTCGATCCCTGGAAATCCGAATTTTTAGTACGTAATGCTATCCACCCGGCTAATACCCCATTAGTTCTAAGCCATTAGCAGCTATTTTTTCTATCCTTTAACTAAAAATCATTGAATAAAAAAATGCCTATCATTTAGTTGTTTGTTTCAAACAAACATGTAAACTGTTTGTTATTTTTAAGGAAAATGTAATATTTTTTCTTGAAACTTTTTCTTCCATTAAATTTTTATAACATTGTTTACTACAGGCACCACTACTATTTTCGCGGTGCTCCGCACCAATGCAGCATTGGGCAACCTATGCAACGACAGCAAATTTTGCCGACTTTCCGCGGCTGCGAAATACGCTGCGCCATTGCTGTCAAAGAAGTTGAATACGACGAAACTATTTACCAAACATCGGGTACGCGTATTATATTTTAGTGGTTTTTAGTAGCTGTGAAGTGTTTGAATCAAGGAAATAAGTTGAAAACTAATTAATTATAACAGATTATTTTGAGCGGATATGTGTGAAGAGTGCTAAAATCGGAAATGTAAAGGTAAAAATAAAAATTTTTTGTGGCCTTCGCAAAAAGCTAGGAGGATACAACGCGAATTTTTGACCGAAAAACCTCAGCGGTGACGTCGACTGTGACGTTTCGTCGATGTCGATATAAACGCAGCCGACTGCGTCAACGGCAGCGTGTCTTTAGCCACAAAACCTACGAATCAATCTACACGAACAGCGGCAATCGGAGTAATATAGTGATGAAGTAAACCCGTTGAAAGATTGTGCAAAATGATTTCAATTTGAATGATATAAGTTAAAAAAAAAAAACATAAGGTAGGGTAAAAGGCGTATTTATCGTAATAAGAAAAGTGTGTGAAGTGCACTGTGCATGGTGGATTCAAAGTGCATTGTTATTAGATTTTAATAATTTCTATAACAACATAAGTCTTCAATGAAAAAAAAGAGCTAATCTTTGTTACTCTCAGTGGTTCCGATGTTCATTCAAATTTTTCAGAAAGGCAAAAAGTGAAATTGTAAAACCAAGCGAACCAGTGAGTGAACGAACAACTGTGCAGTATACAAGTTTGAGCCACTACGATGCGCCATTGTTTCCACACACAATAAGTGCTGGTGTTTGTTCGCCGCGAAAGAGTAAGCAGTAAAAGCGGTGTAACATTTGAAGAAGTAGTGGAAAGCAAGGCAAGCAACAAGACATTTATTGGCTTTTTTTGTCATCGGCTATCTAAGTAGCGTCGACGTCGGCATTGGCGTCAACTACGCCGTCGTCTTCGACGACAGTGTCGGTGACGACGTCTGCATCGGTGTGACCAAGCCCAAAAAATCCAGTCAAGCACTACGAATTCATCAGCACATATTTCTTTAAAGCAGAATAGAAAGAAGTAACCAAGTTAGTGAACGAGATATTGTGTTGTAGTGGCAAAATAAGTTTAAAATATTCGGTAAAACTTTTTGAAATTCACACAGCACACGTCAATCGAAACGAAGCAGTTGCCGGAACGCGGCGATTGTAAGCAGGAAGCATAGAACTGCAGCGTACTCACGAAAAGAAGTTGTAGTTGCAAAGTGGCATAAATACAAATTTTTCTTTCACTTCTCAACCCCTTTACTCAGCTGCTTCTAATGTTCACTTCTCTGAATGTAATAGAAACTGAAAATTTGAAATAGTTGAATTGGTTAATGGTTGGTGAAAAGTGCAGGTTAAGTTAAAAAAAAAAACGGTTTTGTCGCGATCGCACTTTGTTTTGTGGCCAATAATTCGATTTTGTGCACCTTCAAGTTTTGCTAAAACGCTAACTTTAACTGTAGGAGCACAACGTTGGATTTGTAAAAACGGCAAGAATTGCTTCAGCTGAGGCATCATAATGGCTGCCGAGGAACTGAAAGTGGTTTTGCGGCGTAACGAACATTCCGGTTTTGGGTTTTCGCTTTTGGGCACCACCGGACCCCCGCATGTAATCTACGAAATACATGAAAATTCACCGGCCGCTGATGGTGCGGTAAGTGGAAGTTTATTTATTTATTTATTTTTCTTTGTTATTATTAGTTGTAGGTGTTTACAATTTTTTCTTACCAGCTTACCTTCTTGAATTTGAATTTTATTTTCTGTGTACTCGTATGCAGAAACATGTCTACGAGGGTCATATATAAATATATATGTATACTTATTCAATAGTTTACTTTGTTTTTATTCAATAATTGTGAATTTCTTTCAATTTCTTTTCAACTACGTTTTTCCTTCAACCCATGTTGTTTTTTTTTTAACTTTTATTTATTAAATACCAATTGGTGCGCCCATAAGCCAGTGCAAAATGACTTCATCTTTATGGAATTTTTTTCGTATTATCTACAAGTGTATCGTCGTCTATGTTGTCACCGCCTTTCGCGGTGTTGTTGCCATGTACTTGGCAGTTTTGTACGACTCCCAATTAGAAATAACTATGAATAAATAGGCGACTGCAAACGAAAGTGGATGCATGAAAATTGCGTGGACTGAAACCGTGCAAAGAGTGTTAGAGATATTTAAGTATTATCTTCTAAGTTCATTCGTGTTTTATGCCTTGTGTTCATTGATATCATTTCATTTATTTAATTACAACTAGTTTTTTTTGGCCATTATAATCTACAAATTTTCCACAATTTTAATTTTTGGTAATGATCCAGCAGTGAACCGGCTTAAAAGCTCCGCTGCTTAGATTACATATTTTTTTATTCTGTCATCTAGAGTTTTCTTTTGAGTTTTATATAATCATGTTTGTTTTGTTTTGTTTTTATCCTCATTGGGCTTCTATTAAATTTCTCTTGCGTTGTTATCACTTTAAATATATTTCACTACTTCATTTAAACACACACATATGCATCTATGTACTATATACCGTATGTATATTTGGCTACATTCCGTACTTTGGTTTTGTTGTAGACTACAAGACAGCTGTTTTGCCATTCAAAACCCGCTGTCGATTTGTATGTATGTACATAAGTTTCTTTCGTATTTAAAGGATTTTTATATTATTCTTGTTTTTTTTTTGTAGCGGTTCGCTAACGCCACGTTTGATTAATCTAAGTCGCCGAGGTCCACTAGTGGGAGGTCCAGGAAATGAGCTGTTTCGACGGGATTGGATCAAAGGGAGAGGGTGTTAGATGAGTCGGTTAAAAGGGGCATGTGAAGAGGTGGTTAGTGTCGTGCGGAGACTTTCCACATGCATACGCTGGATATGCTGGGAAGTCCCGGCTACAGTATCCAGACTTAAGTAGTGCCAAGGTCACGTGGGTCTCTCGAGGCAGCTCGAGCTCGTTGTATGCCATGAGTGGTGGTTTTACTCCGAGCACGCCATTCACTAGAAGGGAGTTTTTAAAGGTGAATCGCATTCAGTGCCTGTCTGTACACCGTCCTTTCCAGCAGTTGTTGTACATGTTGCTGGATGGTGTATATTAAGTCGAGTACTCCCTTTCTGATGTGCCTAGGTGGAGATTCAGCTTCTATTATTAGGTGCCAATTGGGGTGTTACCCTGCGGTAACATTCCTTGCACAGCAAGGCATTATGGTACATAACTCGTAGCATAGATGCTTCACTGTGCAAGTGATGCTACGGCGACATCAGGAGGTTTACTGTCGCAGTCCTGAGAACGGATGGGGATGATCAATTAATTATTAATTATTTTAATCCAGTAGCTTTTATAGTGTACCTCGCCAACCGACCGATGTGAACGGGTGCACGCTAACTTGCCGAGTCTCTTCCGTACGACTGTCTCATCCGCCTGACTACACAAATTAGCGTAATATTGGCCGTTTATTGTAGTTCTCCTTGGGAAGTAATTAATTAATAATATTGGCCCGCTATCTCAGAAAATGGTGGCCATAATCTTCCACTGCATGGACTTCTGTTTGGACTCGAGATCATACTGACGAATTCAAGTTTCATCAACTCTTACAATGCGGTTGAAAATTTGATCCAAAATCGTCTTGGTATAATTCCAAAAAATATTTACAACTTTGAAATCGTCACGGATTGTCAAGCGGCGTGAGCATTCGCGGTACTCAAAGTATACTACTTTCGATTTTCTGAACATTTTCTGCGGTTACCACAGTCACTGGGCGCTCCGGGCGGTGTGTCATCTTTAAAAATTTCTTTCTTTCCTTTTACAATGAATTTAAACACTACGCGATGCTCCAAATTGCAAGAACTTCCAGTTTCCGTTGACATAGTGTTGTTGCTTGTTCCAGGATCGAAATGTTAATGAACCTAATAAAAAAAGGTGTGTTATTTATACTAATAATGAGTGTCACGCAATTAGTGTTATCAATAACGAGATGATGTTTAATCCCTAACTACCTTAAACTAATGACATCTCATTCATTATAGGCGCAATTGATGCTCTTTGCTTGGTTAGGATGTTTATAACGACACGATATTCCATTTTTTCCATATTTCACTTTTATTATGTTGTTTTGTAGATGGTAGTTGGAGGATTAATTGTCTAAAAACAATAAAACCTCTTATATTATATATTTACTAATTATGAGTGACTGAACACTTTACGATTTTCATTAGCCTGATTACCCGCTTACAATGCTTTCATTCCGAGAATATTAATTAGCTTCCTCATATGATGATAATAAACAAAGTGTTAGAATATTCACGGCCTTCCTCTACTACTTTTTTGATAAAAAAAAAAAATAATAAAAAAAATTAAAAGAAAAAACAACAACAACGAACAATATATCTTTAAAACTCAAAATAAATACCATGAGCTCGTTTGGCATCTTTACAATATATAGGGTGTTTCATAATGTACGCAGTTTTGAAATTGCGCCGGACTTTTTTTTGTTGTAAGATTGTCAGCACTGTTGCCATTCGTCACATATTATCACTCCGATTAGAAGACCATTTGACGTTTTTCCATTTCTTATTGTGAAAACGCATTACAAAAACGGGGAGCAAAGACTGCTCGTAAACTTCGCTTGATCTTTGGACGTGACAATGCCCCGACCGCAGCAACAGTTTCGAGGTTGGTACAGAAATTCAAAGAATGTGGGTCAGTTGCAACCAGAAAATCGACCGCACGAAATTCAACGGATAATCGGCGGAATCGATAGGAACGTCTGCGAAAGACTTATCGTTAATTCCAAGGATCAAATGGCTGCCTGCAAAGAAAGTGGAGGTGCATGTATGCGCGATATTATTTTTCATTACTAAATTGAAGTATACGAGGTGTGTTCAAAAAGTATCGCGAATTTTGAATTTTCGCGGGTTACGTATAATCGAATTTCGATTTTATTGTGGCGTTATGTTGGTACTCATGTCTGTCACTTATGCCGACAAGCTCGGCCATTTTGAATGTTCACTTAATTGTTGACAGCTGCTTTGCTTGCACGTGTTTTGGTTGGTCTTCGATTTTTAAATTTTAATGAAAGTTTTGCTGACAGTTTTCTGCGATTGCGTGGTGGGTGGTGCATCATGAGTTCTTGCCACAGGGCAGAACGGTCAATAAGGAATATTACCTGCAAGTTATGCGCAATTTGCGCGAAGCAATCTGCCAGGAACGCCCGGATTTGTGGAAGAACAGAAATTGGCTTTTGCACCACGATAACGCCCCTGCTCAAACATTGTTGCTGGTGCGCGACTTTTTGGCCAAAAACAACACACTAATGATGCCGCAGCCACCGTATTCCCCAGATCTGGCCCCCTGTAACTTTTTCTTGTTCCCTAAACTGAAGAGGCCCATGAATGGACGACGTTACGCTACGATTGACGAGGTAAAGACGGCATCGAAGGAGGAGCTGAACAAGATAAAAAAAAATGATTTTTTGAAGTGCTTCGAAGCTTAGAAAAACGGTGGCACAAGTGTATAATATCTAATGGGGATTACTTTGAAGGGGACAAAATAGATATTCATGAATGAATAAATAATTTTTGAAAAACACACAAAATTTGCGATATTTTTTGAACATACCTCGCATGTTGAATGAAATTAAATAAAAATTTTGAGTTTTGCCTCGATTTTGACTGATTTATTACTTTATGAAACACCCTTTATATATATAAATATGCATATATATACATACAAACATTTATTATTATTCTTTATCTAGCCGCTGGAGTACGTCCACTTCATTTCGGCATCTAATTGATAAAGCAAAGTGAATAGTTAATTAATTAACTTGATTAGTAATAAACCAAAATCAATGGTATTTTGATAAAAAGCAATTTGATTTCTGGCGCTCGCAAAAAAAATGTGTTTAATAACGACTCAACTTTTATTTAATAGTGGCGATTTTTTAAAGTGACGCGTAAATTTATGAAATGGCGATAAAATTTTAAAACCAAATTGACTACTGATAATTATACCAATATGTGCATATAAATAACGAAAACAGTTGTTTACAACTTTCGCCATTTGAAGAAGACAACAAACCATTGAAATGATTTTGAAAAGAGCGAAATGTTTCCTAATCAGTACTGTAAGGCGGATGTGGCATAGGTTCCCAATTAAATACTGTCAATTTTAGCAGAAAGGTTTGATGTCTTCTTATGTTAACTGTTATAATCTTATCGATTATATCGCACCATAGCTCAGTTCAGATTGTCTTTTTTATTTCTTCGTTTAATCAGTTTTGAATCAGAAGTCCTTGAAGCCGTTCTTTTTGTGTAGATTGCTTTAAAATATACTAGATATAAAAAAGTCAGCCACTATTTTTGTATTAAATTAAAGGCTTATATTTACTACAGTTAGATTTATCCGATTTTTATTAAATACACATACTTTCGCACTTTTTGCCATTTTAAAGGTAATATCATCAATTAAAGGTATCACCCTCTCCCTTTTAAAAAAAAAATTTGGGACAATCTTCAAATTGAAATTCTTTACCTTCCAAATTGTTTGCCCTGCACAAGAATAGATGGTAATCACTTGGTCCGTATTCTAAGATGGATGCATTGAAGTTTCCCAGGCAAGCTCTTGGAGATCAGGTCAATGTCAAACCACACCCAATTCCACT